CCAGCAGGGCGCCTGCCCAGAGGAGTCCTGTAAGTCACGTGGTGGGCCGTGTGCTCTGTCAGCATACCACACCAGCGTGCCTAAAGCTGTCCCTCTAGCGTCCTGCCCGCCTTATACAGGCCCATTCCTCAAGTGCCTGCCTCCTCCAGATTTCCTCCCTTGGTGGGTTCTGAGAGCCAGGCAGAAAGGACCCTGCCCTAAGGCCGCTAGGAAGGACCTGTTGATCCATCTCTAGGCTAGGAAAGGCCCAGTTCTTGGAAACATAAGGGCTTATCCTTTCCTCTTTAAGGGGAAGTGAAAATGCTTTCCATTCCTCCATGCGATGCAAAGAATTTCTTGCTAAAGAAGCAAAACTAAAATCAAAACCAAACTGAGTTCTCACGGGTCATCCATCAGCCAAAGGTTCGGCAGGATCTCTCTTTGCGTAAGAAGTGTGCCTCAGGGACCACCAAATTCAAGCCCTCTTATGCAGAGAGGGGAAGAGACTTGCCCACGGCCACCAGGTGACTGGAGCCAAAGCTCAGAACAGAAGCCAAGTACCCTGATCCTGAGGCAATTTGCAGTCTCATCCCAATCACTAGGTATGGGAACTCAAGAGGTAGAAAGCATTAGGAGTGACTCCCAGGGCCTCCTAGCACACATAATAGCTTTCTGCGGTGGGGAAGACTTACCTTCTGTCCCCAACTCCCTGTTTGATTTCCAGGCTAGGAACAATGACCGTAGCTCCCATTTGCATGGAACTTCATGAAGCCCTGTCACATCCATCATGTCATTTGAGCCTTGCTTACTCTATGAGTTCCTATTTTATAGATAAGGAAATCAAGATTCAAGGGTTAAGTGACGTGCCGAAAGTAATGCATTTGCTGCAGAAGGGGAATTGGGAGCTAGGTCTGCCTCTGCAAGCTTCCTGGAGACCCGGCCTGCAGGTGAGCTGCCTGGTGGCTCCTCACCTGCTCTGCTTCCCTGGGAGTGTCAAGCCGACGCTGCTCTGTGCCCCTTCTACTGCTACGTCTGTCTTCCTCCTCCCCATATCTGTGACCACGCTATTCCTTTCTCCTGGCCCTCTTCCTCGTCCGTTGATCATTCAGGCCCCACGCTCCTACTGTCTGAGGCAGGCCTGGCCTCTTGGATGGGCCTGGGTGGTTTGCACACTGAGACTCAGGCTGCAAGCAGATTCTGAGGGGTGGGGTTTGGGCTGTGGGATGGGGCTCTGAATTTCTTTGGAGCTTGGGCACTTAGTTGCTTCTCTGTTGCCCACTTGGACATTTTCTGTGGCTAGACCTCAAGTCTTCCCTTCTGTAGACTGGAGAGGGATGCTCCATGCCGTCTCAGCTTGGACACTAATTTTGTCATAAAGGGGTTAAAAAATATAACTGAACTTAATCTTTATAGATGTCTGGTCTGTTCATTTGCATATAAGCATCTCCCCTGCCCCCAGCCCTGGCAATTTGCATCTCATTATCCAGCTGCATCCTTGGAGATTGCCCCCTTGACTGGACCTGCTGGGACGAGCTCTATCTCCTTTTTGACCCTAGAGCCTTTCTCCTGCCCTCCTGGCCCCAGATGGGTTCTTAGCCTTCGCCAGCCTCGGCAATCCCAGCTTCAGACTGTTGGCCAGGCTCTCAATTTTCCTTCTGCAGAGCGGTCTGCAGGGCCCAGCCATGGAAATGGTGAGCCTAAAAAACAGGGTGAGGGGGTGTACTTAGTGGGGGTTGAGAGTGGGAAAAGGGGGTGGCTCCACCCACCCATGCGAACATAAAAGGCCCAGAGTGTACTGTATGTGCACATTCAAGCACAGTCACACACACACACACACACACACACACACACTTTCTCTGACTCCTCTATTCCTTGCCCCCATCCCAGGTCATCCTCATGCAGCTTCTTTTTGCTTCAAAACAGAGCTTGATATGCATTTTCTGTGACATCGTCCGGGTGAAAGTTTGATGGGGAAGGCAGGGCCAGACAGGTTTTGTGTTTTATCATCCAGCCCTGCTCCAGGGGGCAGACCTGTGTTCTACCAGTGCAGCCCAGCTCTTCTGAGCACTGGTGTTTCCCCAGGGAAGCCATCCCTTTAGCCTCTCTAGAAAGCCTGAGATTGTCATGGAGGACAGCCACCAGCAGAGATGAGCAGAGGGCCTGGGGAATGAGCAATTGCCTGAAGCTAGGTGATGACCCCTTGCGGCAGGTGGGCAGGGGTCTGCCTGGGGCCCCAGTGGTTGGACCTGGCTCCCTCTGCTCAGAGGCACTGCTCAGTGGCACTGAATCAGAAAGCGCTCTGCGACTCTGGGGAGTTGAGGGGAGTGATGAGCGGCGGACAGGGAAGCGCGCCGCACGCCCTGAAGTCAGTGTGTGCTGGGGCAATGGCTGCGGTGGTGCTGGGCAGTGACGTCTAGTCTCATTCATTCATCCAGTGAATGCTTATCAAGACCAACAAGGGTGGGGCCTTGTGTTGTGTCCGTCTGTGGATATAACAATGACCAAGACAGATGCATGATCACCGTAGGGAATGCATGGCCTGGTGGTGACTCAGACAAACAAACATGGCAGAGGTGAAAACAGGTGGAGAGAAGAAGTTCAGGGCCTGGGATGGTAAATTCTACATGCCAACCTGGCCACATGACACTCAGATATGGTCTAACACCAGTCTAGATTTCACTGTGAAAGTCATTTTTAAGAGAGGTTAGTGTTTAAATCAGCAGTCTTGAGTGAAGATTACGCTTTGCAGTGTGGTGGGCCTCGCCCAAGCAGTTGAAGGCCTGAAGTGAACACAGACTGAGGTCCCTGAGGAGGGAATTCTGTCAGTGGATGGCTTTCAGATTCAAGCTGCAATGTCAGCAATTCCTTGGGTCTCCAGCCTGCTGGTCTACCCTGCAGATTTTGGACTTGCCAGCCTCCACAATCACATGAGGCAATTTCTCTGTTTCTCTGGAGAGCTCTGACTAATACAGGGGCCTGTGAGAGTGCCTGGGAAGGGATAGAGGGCATAGAAGGCTTCCTGGAGGGGACAGGCTGAGCAATGACATCTCTGCAGTTAGGGAGGAGGAGGGAAGGAAGGAGTGTGTGGTTTGATTAATGACCCTGGGCCAGGATGGCTGAATCTAGGTTGTGTGCATTTACTAACTCATTCAGGGACTTCTGGCCTTGGACAAGGCCCTTGACTTCTCTGAACTTCAGTGTTTTCCATTGTGAAATGGGAACAATAGGCTCAACGTTCAGAGAACTTTAGGGAGGCTGCAAATAAAATGCAGGAGGTGGCCAGCATGAAAGATGGCCAGGAACTGAGGAATGGGAGCCCCCTTAGAGGCGTTGGTGGGGGGCAGCACTGCAGCGGTCGTGCAAGCGGAGGGCCTGCTGGTGCTTCCTTTAGGCCTGGCGCACGAGGGGCAGCAGAAGTGGGGCAAGGGGATGGCCTGGCTGAGGGGCAAGAGAAGGAGGTTCTTCCCTGACTTGCTGCAGGGACCCTTGGGGCCTGAGCATCCCCATCTGTCAAGTGGGGGTTGTCTCAAGAATCAAGCGAGAGAGCGTGCTGAATGGGAATAGGCCAAAAGGCATGAAGCATGATGAAAGGCAGTGTGCCATTACTGTAGTGGTCAGGGGTCGGAGGAGGTGAGCAGGGGGGGGCTGGGGCTGGGGGAAGCAAGCGAGGCCCCTAGGGCACAACACTGGGGGAGGTGCCCCTCTCAGGTGCTGACCCTCAGGCATACCTGAGCGGGAATGCCTCCCTACCTGTTGCTCTGCAGGGGCCTCACTCACCTACCCGTGGGCTGGCCTGGAGGTGAGACTGGCATTGACTCCTGCAGGAGTAATGGGCACTTTGGGTGGCCAGTTGGATTTTAATGTGCTTTGAAAGGTTGGATTGATGTTTTCACAGGGGGTATCTGCCCAAGGGGACAGCCCCACCCTGGCTGGGTGGCCAGTTCCTCTAATGTAGCAGTTCTGAGTGGGGTCTAGTCCTGTAGCAGGAGCCCCATCAGGAAACTTGCTAGAAATGCAGATTCTTGGCTCCACCCAGAAACTGGGGTGAGGCCCTGAAAGCCTTCAGGGGACCCTGATGTCCCCAGCACGTGAGAGGCAGCAGCGGTGGGGGCAGGAGGAGCCCTCATTGATTGACTGAAACAATTCACTGTCAAGAAGACACTTTCTCCTTCTGTCCTTCCTTCTCTGCCACAGTTTCTCCTCCATCTTCTCTGTCTTCTTCCTCTTTTTTCCCCAAGAAATGAAATCAACCCCCCACTAGATGTGGTCCCAAAGATTCTCAGATTCTTTGGCTTCCCTTGGTGAGTGGGAGCACATTCTAGCACAGCTTCCACCTTAAAAAAAAAAAAGACCAAATGACTAATAAGTATCTGAACAGAAGTTCAAATACTATGAATCGGAGAAATGCAAATTTAAGCAATTGAGTATGACTCTGAGCTCCTCAGAATGGCAAAAGTCAGAAAGGTGGACAAAACGGAGTTGGTGAGCTTGTATGAACACAAGACCTCTCTGAACTGTGGGTAGGAGTGGAAACTGGTACTCTGGTTTTGGAAAGCAATCTGGCAAATTTAATGCTATTTATTTTCTTTAATTATCTTTATTGAACACACCTCCATAGTGCTTACTGTGTTTAAGACATTGTCCTAGGCAATTGACAAATACCAACTGAAATAATTACTAACCTATTTGAGTACAGATTGCCTGTGACTCAGTGATCCTGCTCCTAGAATGGACCCTGGAGAAGGTCCCTCCGGCCAATAGAGGGACACATATAGGGAGTGTTGTTTGTGGCAGAGAGAAGCTGGGGGCCTGTCTTGGTGTCCATGGGGTGGGATGGAAGAGTGCGTGGACTGGGACAGGTGCATCTGGAATGCTGCAATCATCTCACCAGAAACCAGCATCAAGGAAAGATCTCAAAAAACAGTGTCTAAAGAAAGTAAAACGCAGAATAAGATTCATAACAGAGTGCCATTTATGAAAATTCAAGACACGCACTCATAACAATGCTCTATAATTTCCAGGGACGTATGCATATTTAAGGATATGCCGCCAACATATTGGAGCAGGCACCTACGTGGAGGAGCGGGGACGGTGATGAAGGGGCAGGAAGGAGACCACGCATGGACCATGCATGAACTGGACCTTCAGTGCGCTGTGTGCAGAGGAGTGTGAGGCCCCGAAAGTTTGAACCTGTGCTCAGAAAGAAAGAAGAAAAAGGTAGCTGCCTTTCCCTGTCAATGGCCTAAAGCTGAAGAGAGGAGGCCTGAGGGCAGGGGGCTGAGCAGGCCAGGCAGGGTGTGGAGTCTGGCTAGCATTCTACTCTAAAACTAGGTCCTAAAGTGTCCATAAAATGGGATAATAATAATAATAACGTGGTGGTGACAGCTGGGTCACATATTCTAAATGGTTGGTCCATAGGGGCCAATGCTGACTCGCTTTCTTGCTTTTCTCCCGCGTGGCACTGTGGGAAGTTGTTCATGCCTTGACAGTCCAGAGCTGCGTATGTGAGCAGAGGGTGGGGAAGGGCCAGGGAAGTGTGCTGGGAAAATGTGGGGACACGGCTTCGCGTCTGTGTTGACTTCATATTTAGAAACATTTCACACATACACCAAAGGAGAGAGGACAGGAGTGGACACCCCCCTCCCCCTCCCCGACCCTGCCCCATTCAGCAGCTGCCAACATGCGGCCAATCTGGGGATTTATTGACGGAAGAGAGCAGAGGAAGGAGTAATAGCCATGCTTGGCATCTGTGCACGCTATCATCCAGCCTGCGCACGGACGTCTTTCCCATACAGTATTTTATTTGCTTTTCCCAGCAACCCGTGGAGTCGATTCCTGCTTTAGAGCTGAGAAGGCTGAGGCCCGGTGCAGTGAGGCGGCTTGGCGGAGACGGCCTGCTGGTGCTGGCCCAGCGTTCCGGCTTGCGATCCAGCCCTCCTCTGCCTGTGAGCAGAGGCCCCTTGAGCAGTACTGTCAGGCCCACCCGGCCAGCGCTCAGTAGTGGGTGGCCTTGGGTTAGCACCTAGCCTCTCGCTGTCCCTGGAGGGCTGGCCCTGGCCTGGGGCATTTCTGTGCATCCTGCCCTGCCTCTCTGGGAGCTCAGTGCCATCACTCCCTGGTGTGTCCTACTTAACGGGAAGTGGAGCAGTTTAGAAACAACCCAGAAAGCTGAGACGGGCGTCCACGCAGCCCCACAGTCCCCACTCTGGGGGCCCCGCCTGGCTCCTGGCCCCTGGCTGGACAGAAGAGCCCCCTGGGAGGTGGCAGTGGTGGTGGGTGGGCGGGATACTGGGCCCAGGACCAGGATTCCCTCATTTCTACTCAGAGCTCGTTTTGGCTGCCAGGGCGGGGGGACTGGAGACCTGGTGGCCCATGAGTTGCCGGGGAGGAAAATGGAGATTTCTGCAGCTCCTCAGGGTGCACTCGGCTCCCAGGCTGTGCTGCGACCAGGCTCCAGAAACAGATTTCTTCTTTTTTTTAAACTATGTTTTCCCCACAGTGACCCACTTTGGTAGCCGAGGCCCCGAGGCACTCCAGCCACGGCTCTGAGTTGTTTTTCTGAAGGACAGGCTCCCTACCTGGTCCTCGCTGCTTGTGCTGTGGCTGGGAGACCCGAGGCAGGGGAACCCCCATCCTGTGGGGTGGGGAGGGCCACCAGGGGCTTGGGGCATGGGATGGGGCAAGGGCTCCAGGTTCCTGGGGCCACCACTCACCCCTCCAGTCTGGAGCCCTGGTTTGGTTTCTGAGGCACAAATGGGGAACTTCTGTTCCTCACTTCTCAGTCACTGGCCATGGTGCCTCTGGGAGGTGGCTTTGGGTAAGGGGGGCAATGGGCAGGGAGGTGATGGTGCCAGCACGAGATGCAAGACCCAAGGACCATTCACCATCTGGGCAGTGACCACTCCCTGAGCATCCAGCCCTGGGGGGACAATGGGGCGGCAGGTGTGTGGGGGCCTTTCGGGGATTGGGGAGTCCGAGGTTGTGTCCATGGAGGCAGAGGAAGAGAATTCCCGCTTGTGACTGGTGTGCACTGGGAAAACCTGGGCACTTGGCAGGCACGGGCCACAGTCCTGGCCCCAGGGATTGACAGTGTGGCTGTGTACACATGCGCACACGCAGGGAAGTCACTTGGGTTCTGTTGGTGTGACTGGCGGCTCGGAGAGGAACTTAGTGCAGCTGAAACCAATGAAGGTTTTATGGTGGGAGTGGCATTTGCATCTTACACCTGTGAGTGGGGATGTGTAGGAACCGCATTCCAGGCAGGGCAGCAGCGTGAACCAAGGCGTGGAGACTCGCACAGCCTTGTTTACTAGAGGAGGACTCCTGAGATGCCGTCTGCCTGGGAGCCTTGTGTCCAGCATGTGCGCTCTGCGTGGCCATAGAGTGCCCAGCCTCGCAGGTAAAGGCAGCAGAACTGGCTGTGTCCAGACCCAGGGAGCCTGCAGACCCTGAGTTTCAAATGCTACCCCATTTGCTTAGTCTGGGCGTCCAGGGATTGCATATGAATGATCCGGTTCAGCCCAGAGCGGGGAGAGGCAGAGGGAGCCTGGGGCACTGTGAGGCTGCAGTGGAACCAGCAGGGCCTCTTCCCCTGGTTGCTGGGAACGCAGCATGCCTTGCCAGCCTCTCCCTCTTGCCCAGTCTTCTTAGTTCCTTCTCCTTTTCCATGGAGGAAGAAAAATGATGGCTGCCCCTCTGAGGGTTGTTGTGGGGATTAAATGAGGAGGGATCTAACCTCCCAGCCTGGGGCCTGGCGGCTCAGTAGGTGTCGGATAATGAGAGCTCTTCTGCTTGTGGGGTGCCTTCCTTCCTTATCAGGCTAATGCCTTTCCTCCCCTTCCCTCTGGCCTAGGGCCTCTGTGCTCCACCTGCACTGTGCACACTTGTGACATAGCCCTGAGGCGGGCGCAAGTGGTATCCCAGTGGGAGCCGGGAAGGTGGCTTCTTTGGTCTCCATGTCCCCAGTGCCTGGTGTCTGCCTCATAGGATAGGCAGGAATGTCTCTGAAGGAATGAATAAAAATGTGTCTCTGCTTTGTAATTTGGTAAGAATTTACAAAAGGTAGTTAATATGCTTCTCATTCCAGAGTGTGAGCCTTGGGCAAATGCATAATGAAGTAAACAGAGCCCGATTTCCAGATTGGAGTGGGCCTGAGGGACAGTTTGGGGTGTGGAGGAGGGTGGGGGCCACACCTGCTAATACCCCCTCCCCTGCAGCCCCTCTGCCTGCTGGGCCCAGGCTCAGAGCGTTGCAGCAGGGATCTTCTTTCCATGGGAAATTTGCATCCTCTCCATTAATTTTTTTTGCCCTCATTATAAAATCAGTCATTGTAAAATACTCAACTTCAAACAGGAAAGAAATATTAAACATATTTAACATGAAAAGTAAACAATCCCTTCTTATTCACCCTTGTGTCCTGTGAGATGTAGCTAAGGTATGTCATCAGATTTTTTCTGGTTTATCCATTAACTCGATTACTTGTTTATTTATTTATTTGCTTATGTTACAAAAGCAGGACCCTGCTACCCATAGTTCTGTAACTTCCTTGTAGCACCTAGCAACATACTGTGGGCACTGTGGGTTTTTTAAAAATCGATACCACATTCTTTTTAATGGCCATGTAATATTCCACGACGTGCAGAAGGCACCGCTTACTCAATCAGTCCTCAATTGATGGGCCTCTGGATCCTTCTAAATGGAAAGTGCATTTTAAAAGAGGCCTGAGTGGTGAGGGCGATGGTTGTCTGAGGAAGGCACCATACTTCTCTTCCTTCTGGCTCTTTCTCCTGGTGCTGCCTTTGTGAGACAGCAAACCAGCTATCCCTCCCCTCCCCTGCCCCACCCAGCCCCACCCTCTTCCAGCTCCTCTTCTGGAGGGGATGAAGGGGACTCTACAGCTCCCAAGTACCCCCACCCTCTGCTCTTTACAGTGTCACCAACCTAATCCCTGTCCGCTGGGGTCTGTCTCCCCTTCCTTGGGTCTGGCATCTGCCTGTCTTGGGCTTGTTGTTTGCTCAGCTTGGGGGTTTGGCGGTGGGGGTCCTCTGGGAGGGCCTGGGTCATGGCAGGCAGTGAAGGCTGGGGCAGGGTGAGGCAAGGGAGTGGGCAGGCAGAGTGATAGTAACTAGATTGGCTGGTGCCCCTTCCAGGAGAGGGACAGCCCCAAAGGCCAGAGGCTGCAGTTTGCTGTGGCATTTGGGGAATTGCATGATGCAAATGAGACCTCTGGTGACTATGAATATTCATCAGGAGTTCTCCCTACTGAGCAGGTGGGAATTCTACCAGGCTTGCTAATGAACCTGCCAGAGGCAAAGGGTGGGATGTGGTCCTTCCCCGGTCTGCCTGTCCTCTCTTGATCACTGCTAGCCTGTGGAGTGTGGCAGGCATGGAGCCAAGGGTGCCAGGCCTGGTTCTATATTGGTCCCCAATTCTCAGATTGAGGTCTGACTTATCCAGGCCTTGAATTCCTCCCTCATCCTGTTCTCCTTGGAAAACTGTGATCAAAACCACCTCTAGAGCCTGGGGCAGAAGCAGGGGAGAATCCTAGAGATGACAGACTCTTAGGTGCTGTTTTGGTGGTTGTAAAACAAGAAAAAACAGCTCAAATCCATTGGCCTAGAGAAACAGATGGAGAAACTGAGGCTCAATGTAAATGGCTTGCCCAAATCATATGGCAGTTAGGTGACAGGCTCTGACGTGAGTCCATGCAGTCCAACTTGAGGTCTTACATCTGACCTTTCTGCTCCCAGAACCCTGATTACTCTTGTTGCTGAGCCCCCCACCCACAGTGTAATCCCTTCTTGGAATCTTTGTGTACTTGACTCTTAGTCCACTCCCAGAAACCTGCCCTGTGCCCTCCAGCCCACGCCACCTGGATACCCTTGACCCTTCCTGGCTAAAACACTCACTCTGCACTTGGCACAGATGTCCTCACTGGCCTTTTTACCTTTTTTGGGGGAGCCTGTTTCCTGAACTTTAGGGTGGCCCATGTCTTATATACCCAGCCAGGGGTGTAGGGGGCCTACTTTCTGACTCCATTTCCTGGAGGCAGCATGGAGCAGTTAATTTGCTCCCTCCCCTGCTGCACCACAGTGGAAGGGGCGGTGAATCAGCGCCTCCTTCCTGGGTGCTGAGTATCTTGGCTTTGTTGTTAGAAAGCTGCTGCTGGTGAAGGTGCACCGCCTCTCGCCTCCCTTCAGTTCCTTGGCAGAGCTGTCTGAGCTGAAACGGGCACCCCCTCTTCCTCACAGTGGGCTGGGAGCTGCTGGGTGGGACAGGGGCCATTGCCAGACACTACAGCCACCTGGCCGGGGCAGAGAGTGCCCAGCAACTAGGCGGTGGGGGTCATCCCTGTCTGAAGCCCCTGTGACCCTGAGAGAGGGCAGCCAGGGCAGACAGCTCCTTTGGGGTGGGAGCACCTGATTGGCGGTCTCCACCAGAAGCAAGGCCCCTGCTCTGAGGGAGATGTAGAGTTGGTCTGGCCTGCAAAACCTTCCAAGCTAATGCCTGTGGCTGGGAATGTTCCACAGTGGGGGTGGGGGGCACAAAAGGAACACATGATGTGTATCAGCTTCTCTCCCCATCTGGATGGAGCGAGTCACACAGCCAGAGCCGGCTTGAGTACAAATAGGAGGAATCTGCCCATGTTGGGTTCCGAAAGGTTACGGGGAACATCTCCTGTCCCCCAGATGTCTCTGTTACCCACTGAGCCCCCTATTAAAATTAACTCCTGGCAGAGGCCATACCTTGCAATGCCATCAGTCCACACTTTTGTGGAGATTACTGATGGCCAGCTGAAGGGCCCAGGCAGATGGCAAGGGGGAGTACCAGGGGGCTCACGATGAGGGAACAGAGATCAGGACAGGGGAAAATGACACTGTCCTATACTTGCAGCCACCAGAAAGTCCTCTGCACCCAGCTAGCCTGGGCTGCTGCCAGCTCAGAGCAGATTCATCTGGGGCTAAACCCAAGAGGGCCCTGCTAGTGTGGTGGTGAGGGGGGCCGGGATGTCAGGCCAGGCCAGGGTTAATGTCTGGCTCTTTTTATTTCTAGCTGGGTCTCCTTGGGTGGTAACTTCTCCTCTCCATCTTCATTTTCTTCATCAGTAAGGCAGTGTGTTGTGAGGCATAAATAAGATAACATACAGCATTTAGAATACCACCTGTCACATCGTGTGTGCAAAGGGGCAGGCGACC